AGCACACTACGAAAAATAGATATATACACACATATACACACATTGCAATGCAACAGTTTTGGTGTGAAAATCAAAAATCAAAAATATTTCAAACATTTCTCCACGCGCCTGAAATTGAATTTGGAAAATGTGTGTGCCTGTATCTGCGAAATGCGATAGTAATTAGCCTTAAGGTATTTTCAGTGTTTATTTAATTTGAACGGGAAACATTTTTATATATTTTTTCTTTTTTAAATTGTTATTAAAATAAATTAATAATTTTTAAATAAATGTCATTTTTAGATAATAGGTAGATAAAATGATATTTACATTGTATTTAAATGACTTTTCTTATTATTTATTACCCCTATAAATTAAATTATTTTAAATTCAATAAAACATGAAAATAAATAAATAATACAACATTAACTTGATACAACCCAGTGTTAAAATAGGTTATAGGAACGATCCAATTTAAATATGACAGCATTACTCCAACAGAGTCTAAATTTAGAACTTACTACTCCCGATTAATTCCTGCGCATGATTTCGCACACACCCCACAGCATATATATTTTTGGGCATTAAGTGATCTGAGATTATTTGGCATTTACCAGGGACAGTGATAAGTCCCACTAACAATTGATAACGATTCGCTTCGGACCGAAGATGGATGACGATCGACGTTTTGTGGGTTACTACTACTATATGGCATACTTATAGTATCTCAGCAAATGTTTGCCTTCAAAAACTATATGCCTTTAAGAAACACTACACATTTGGTATGTTGACATTTTGGCCACTTTTCGTTTTCTGCTTTTGAAAAATAATAAAAATTGGCATAGTTCCCAAAAAAAAACCATTTCGATTTTCTTCAATTGACTTGAGAAATGTATATAGAATGAAAACCCCAATGTGGTTTGTCAGAACTAAATAAATATAAAGGAATTTTGTGCAGCGATCTACTACAAATATTTTGCAACTGTATAAATAAATAAATAAACAGCGAAGGAATTGTGTAGATGCGATCATTTTCTAGGTGTTCTATATTGTTATATTGTATAACAGTTTTTCATTGAGTTTAAACTTTAAAGATAAAGAAAAGGTGGTTTTAATTTATGACCATTATCTGTAGACTTAGGGCATTAAATATTTTGGGTTATGACAAAATAAATGCTATAGGTGTTCTATATTGTTATATTGTATAACAGTTTTTCATTGAGTTTAAACTTTAAAGATAAAGAAAAGGTGGTTTTAATTTATGACCATTATCTGTAGACTTATGGCATCAAATATTTTGGGTTATGACAAAATAAATGCTATAGGTGTTTTATATAAAACTTTGTTTATTTTAACAACATTTTCTATGTTTAACTTTGACTATATATGATCGACCCTACAACCATTTTTGGAATTTTAAAGTCTCACCCTTTTTGGACTTGCTAGTTTTTTGCCTGTGCTAAAAGTTAATAATAATTACCGCTGCACAGCAGTAAAAATATTACAAAAAAAAAAGACAATGGCAGCAACAATTACACACGCACTGCTGACCAGCGGCACAATTACTGTTGGCATTACAACAATGTGTGTCTGCCTATGATAATAATTATGCTTATGACAGCGACGATGATGATGATGTTGCTGTTGATGATGATGATGATTATGATGATGGCACCGTACACTGTATGCATGTCAAGTGTGCCGTGGGTACCGGAAAATCAATTGACTGAGTGACAGGCGGACAGTTCGAGATGTACTTTCACAATAGCTTTAGATATAGATATGAGCACGGCCGGCAAGCCCAGCAATACCACTACCGGGCGATCGAATTTCTATAGTTCGAAAAAAAAAAAGATGAGAGGAAAATAAACGGAATCATGTCGAGGTCAGGCTGTTCAATCAGCCTCCTTTCCTTGGTTGCAACACAGAGAGAAATGGTAATGCAAATAATAGATACATTTCTTTTTTAAGAATTTTCTGCCTTAGTGATATTTCTTTTAGTGCTTCTAGATAATCGATGAGAAGTGACAAAAGCCCCCAGATTTCCATTCATTTTCTACCGTTCTTTTTTTTCCCTTCATCTTTTCTTTTCTGTGTTGCGCTAACTGTAAAGAAAGAAAGTTCTACAGCAAGTGTGGCGAGCTCAAAGCTGATGACATCACGGTCTACCGGCAAATTAAAGCTCCCCACATCAAAAAAGAAAACAAAATACTGAAGAAAAGACATAAAAAATGGAAGAAACACACACACGCACACAGCAGAGACTGGTGAACAGAAAAGGTCACAACATGTGTTAAGTCTAATCTGTCCAAAAATGGAATATGCCACCTAGGCGGTTGAATGAAAACCGAAAAAAGAAAAAGGCAATAGACAAGCCAAAACAAATTGTCAGCAAATTTGATTTGATGCCCATTTGACAGCCATAAAAAAAAAAACAACACCTTACAAAAACGACGTGTCAGCTGCTTTGGCCTCCCTTCCAATGCAATTTTTCAAAGCCAAGAGAGAATAGAATAATCCCAAATAACACTTGTTTTCATAAGACCTGAGGGCTTACATTTAATTTCAAGCAATTACCACATTTTTTATTGCTATTTAAAAACAGGAAAATAAAATTTTAAATTTTAAAGGCTCCTAAAAAATTCTAAAACAAAGTTTACCTTTTTAAATATTAAAAAATAACTAATTACAACTAAGGAAAAATCTTCTTCACTTAATTATATATGTATTAACTTTTAATAACACTCGATAATTAACTTTCAAAAGCTTTAAGCTTAGTTAATTGTATAAAAAAACGCTTAAACTATGGTAAATTTCAGGGTTTAAGTTATTATTTTTCCTGATGTTGTTCAACAATAATATTACAAAAGCATACATTTTGTATTTTTTAATTTATAAGATCTTTTAACAAAACATAATAATTAAATAAATCATCCGCTTAGTGCAACAATCGATTTGCGTGCTTTTTTTTATTATCGCCCAAGCTGCAGGCACCAATTCAGTGTAATCGATTACCAGACTTAATGGCGCGCAGCGTGTTATCGGCGAGTTGGTTTCAATTCCAACTAGAACAGCATTTAAGCGCTCGATTCGAATTTCGTGGGTGCGGCACAAAAATGGGGAAATTGGATACGCGCTCGGCCAGAGATACGGATACGTCGCATACGGATACAGATACAGATACACAAAATGCAGCCGAAAAAGATGTGGGTCAACAACCACCGATGAAGTTGACCCACTTATATATATATTTATATATATATATATAAGTATCTGGCTTTAAAATGCACAAACACACACACGAGCACGCCTTGGCTCATTATGTAATAAAACGATGACGATGTTTAACGGCATTCCAGTTAGAACGTCGCCAATGCAGCGCCGGCGCATTAACAACTCCAATTGGAGTCACCTCTTCAATGGTCATGGTGGTGGTGGTGGTGGGAAATGCGAAAAGCAGACGGAGAAGAACCCAAACAAACAAGCCCATCTTCCAATTGAACTGATAACAAGAGAGAGAGAGCGAGAGAGAGCAGGCAGAGTCAAGAGAGAGAGAGAGAGGCGGGGCAGAGGCAAAGATACCCAAAAATGACAAGAGAGAGCGGACAAAATACAGTGGAATCCTTTAAAATGGAAGTCCTTAAAGAAGTTGAATTATAAAAGGATTTCAGAGATACATTTTGGTATTTATAGGATTTTATTTTTTAAGCGTGTTTTTTGTATACTTTGTGTTCTTTTCAATTAATTAAATAAATTCTATTTAAAGAACCAAAATCCCTTTCCACTTCTGAAGCTATAAAAAATGTGTAATTGAAACTAACGAATTTAATTTAATTTCAAAGCAAAAGATATTATCAGGTGATACTTCTCCAAGAAGCTCAACTTGAAATTTAATGATGTTCTCACGCAATGAAAGAATTGCGTTGTGTCTCGTTTTAATTATTTCCGCAATTATTTGCCATTTTGCCATTTCCTTCTATTTTTACGGTGATTCCATTGAATCCCATCCATGTGACCATCAGCAGAGTAGCCACTGTACGCCTTTGGTTAAAGCAAACAAAGTTTTAAAACCAAACTGCTGACTACTGACTTGGAGAACGGTAATTATCGATTTAAAAATTCGTATGTCTCAAGCTTCCTGCCTTTTTTTGGGGTGGGGGAGGTGGTTTTTTTGGAGCGAACTTTCGGGGTTGGGTGACTATGATGAGCAACAGCAGGCACATAGAGAGTTCATTGCATCGCATTTGGGTTGATGAGAACGCTTTTCCAAAGCTGAATTCGCTAGGGGGGATACATAGTATAGAGTAGAGATCAGCCCAGCTCATTTATGGATTGGCCCGGAAAACACGGCCAACTATGAACTATGAACAAAAAAGCCCAACTGCAAACAAAAGTGAAAGCAGCCAAATAGTCATTAGACGGAAGTTTTTTTAATGAGGTAAAAGTAGGCTCTATTCGGGGCATAATACAATTGCACAATCATAAAGAAAAAAAACCCTACAATAAACTGACTACCCAAGATACCAACAGATTGTTACACTGCAAAATGAACACCTTACCTTATAAAATTTATTACAGATTTAAAATTAAATTATAGAACTATTTTTATAGGATTAGTCACAAAGAAAAACTTCTGGGATATCTAAAAAAAACAGGTTTATATTTAATTTCAAAACTTTAATTAATTAAAGACGGAAAAAGTCCGATTATTTATAACTTTTATACTACCAAAATGTTGTTCGTTTGGAATTTTCAGTGTAATTTAATTGGATACAATTTTTTCAGTGTCTGTGGAGGTACTTTACTATTTTTTGTAAGCCTATACCTGACTTGACTACATAATTTATATATAAAATCTCCAGTTCCTGTTGATGAGATGTTAGATTCTTCAACGAAAAGTAATAAACCTGCCTAGATTTGATTACAAATATTTTAAATAATAAAAAACACACACCAATTTAATATAAGTTCTCAAAAGCTGGTTAAAATCTCCCCTTAAGTTACTTTACTAAGATACTTACTCTTCCTGCACTTCGATGCCGCTGTCATCCATATTTCCCTTGGCATAGTCTCCACTGTAACCGCCACCGGCGTGTGGCAAGTGCGACGCCAGCGTCGATGCCAACGGCAGCTGACCAGCAGCAGCGACGGCAGCGGCATCAGGATGATCTCCTCCAGCGGCCGCATCGAAACCAAAGGTAGACTCCACGTGTTCCGATAGAGGAGTTGGCGTCTCAAAGACTAGCGTCTCTACCATGGAGCCCTTCGAGGAGCCAAAGGAGACACTGCAGCAGCCCGAAAGAAGGTAAATAGATGAGGTGAGATGAGAACGGAGAAAAGGGAGAGGAGATGGATAGAGGAGGCCAGGTCAGGGGTCAACTAGAGGCAAGTCTACAGGGTAAATTTCTTCAACTCAACTTAAAAAAAAAAAAAAATAGTAATTTATAAACAGGAACAGGAAAGAAAATATAAATACTTATTTTTCATTTTTTATATAGTAAAAGCTCAAGGGATTTTTTTAATTCTCGGTTTTTATATTTGCTCTCATATGATTTTATTTCCTCATAATAATGAAGCTATATAAAAAGATTTAAAAATCAACAGTTTCTATAATTTTATGTTTTTGTTTAATAGATTTATATTAAATTGAAGACCTTGGGGGATTTTAATAGAGATTATAAGGTTCCTATCAATTTGGTAATAAAAAGCGCGTGCTTAACGCTCAATCTTTGAGCTATAGTATTCAAAAACTGTTTATAAACTAAACTTTCTTGTGGATAATAAATCGAAAAGTAATTCTTTTTCAATACCCATCAAGATATAGCAGATATATATATAAATGCTGAAACTTGAACCGATCGATCAAATTGCGTGGCAAAAATGATAACCACAATAAAGGCTGATATAATTATTTTATTCTATACTATATGTTATAGGGTATATTGTAGTATATTTTTTTTTTTTTTATTATATAAATAATAAACGGGAGACCTTTTCTTAATCAAAAATAAGATAACTGGTAAATCTTTTTATCGCAATGCAAATTTGATAAGGCAATTAACTAGCTGTTTATTACCCAGTGGAATTTTTTTTTAATATTTTATAAGGCTATAAAAATATGAACTTGAGCAAAATGTTATTAAGAATTTAAAATTGGTTTATAAAAAATATACAAGATTTAAAATGTAAGAAGTTCTTTTCTCTGTGCCAATTACTTCCACTGTAAAAATTAGCAAATTATTATATTAAATATTGTTAAAAATTTGCTAAAAAAAAATATATATAAAAGATTTAAAAAGTAAAAATTCTTTTCTCTATGCCTATTATTTCCACTGTAAAAATTAGCAAATTATTTTCACAGTGCCAAAAATTGCAACTAAGCGAGAGTGAAAGAGAAGGAATAGGAATAAAGGAAATAACGAAAGACATTGAACGGGGTAGGGGCGGGGGCAGTCGTGGGAGTGAGGGAGAGAGAGAGAGAGGGGGGGGATAAAAAACGCACCGCTTGAGACCGACGCTTTTGGTGCCCAATTTGCTCAGTTTGCCGGGCTTCTTTTGGGGGCGTGGAAATTTATCGCTCAGATCGCTCGATAGATCCTCGTCGTCAGCTGTTGCCTCTGCCGTCTCTGTTGCTCCCGTTGTTGCTGCAGCTGCTATAGCTGCGTTATTGTTGTTGCTTTTGCTCTTATTCGTATTCGTATGTGTATTGGCATTATTAACGGTGTTTTTAGCACTGACCACAACCATGGCATTGTTGTTGTTGTTCACATTGTTATTTGTTGCTGCTGCTGGCGTTGTTGTTGTTGCCGTTGTATGCACCAGTGGCAGCGACGTCGGCGGCACAGGAGCAGCGACGCCGACAGAGGACGAAGGAGCGCCAGCGGCGGTGACAACAACAATTTCATCGCTCAGCAGACGCGTTCGCTCATCGCAGTCGACGGCGACAGCGACGCCGGCAGTGCCGTTAGACAGCATTGCGGTTGTTGCAGTCGTTCTTCCTCTTTTTCTTCTTGTTGCTTTTATTGTTGTTTCTCTTCTTGATGGTAGAGTTGTTGTTGTTGCAGCAAACAGATTCGGTTTCGCGGCTAACGGGGCATTTCGAAGGGCCAGCATAGGCACAAACACTCACACACACTGCGACACACACTTAACGCTTGATTGAATCTGAATTTCCGCCGCGGTTTTTTTCAGCACGGCAAACAAAAAAAAAAAAAAAAAAAACCAAAAAAGAATTTAAAAAACAGCACACGAATATTAACACATTAGCAGAAGTACACACAGATACACGGCGGGGGAACACACGGCGCAAAAAAACAGCAACAAAAAGCGGCGGCGGCGACGTCGGCAGAGGCTGGGCAGCAACTGCAGCGTCGCGTCGGTGACCTGCACTTTTTTTTTTTTTATATTTCACCGAAGTTGGCGCCCTAAAGCGCGTTTATAAATAAATGCAGACGTGCATTTAATAAATCGGACAGCGAGCGCGGCTGTTGCTGTCGCATATATTCATATATCGTTACGTTTCGCGATGAATGGGGGGCACTATGTCTGGACGATGCGGCGTTCTTGGAGGGTAACAACAACAAAAAAAACAGAATACCCAGAGCAGCGAGCGTTGCGACTTGTTTAATTTTTTGTATTCTATCAAATTTTTACGGGTGCTCGCGAAAACAAACGGTAGTGGAGTGTGGCAGTGTGCCAATGTTTCCGTTAAAATTCCCTAATTTCAGCTGGCTATGGGATTTTCTGCTTAACAGGTAGCTTGTCTCACTTAAACACGTAATTGTTGCCTTTTGATTTTATTAAAGTTCTACACCTTCTTCACTATCGATTGTTTATCAACCCTGATATGTTATCGTACTATCGATATCCACATCACTTGGCAGAGATGAGCGAAATTGCAATTTTTTCGTTTAGTCAAATTCTTGTGCATGTTATCGCTCATCTCTATTACAAATACGAAAATGAAATTGCGTGCATTCTAAATGGTAAGTTTAACACCCCAAAAATGGCAAACCGAAGGTGTTGAGACGTTCAAACTAAAGCCTGCAGTAGGACGACGTCACGGTTAAAGTTCAGCAAACAAATGGCAGCAAGAACAATCAAAATAAGGCATGCACAAACACACAAACACACACACTTACACATGGAAGTGCGCAAATGTTTTTATTTTTTTGTTGTGTGGAAGTGGGGGTGGGGGGCAACCACATTGTTGTTGTTTTTGTTCGAGTGAATATTTTCGTGCATTTTGCAGCTTGTTTGCAGCCTAATTGTTTTATAAACAATTGTTAATTGCTGGCAATTAAATGGTAAAATCAATTTCCTTCATGCGCAAAACAAAAACACACCCATTTCTATCTGTGTATGTGCGAGTGAGTGTGTGCGTGTGTTTGTGTGAAATGCAAACTGTAAAATCGCTGAAACTTAAATCCCAGTGACACTGCGCGACATAACTAGCAAGTGCTATAAATACACTGTGGTGCACTGTGTGAGTCACTTGCGGCTCAGAAAACCAAGAAAAGCGAGTATAAACAGAAATAGAACACCACACAGTGTATGAGTAAATATTTGCCGGTTAAGTTTGGTTTTTAGTTTTGCGAGTTTTAAGCGCTGCATACCGGTTAGCCCGGTTAGCAAAAACAAAAAAAAAAAAAAACTTATACTATAGCAACAAAAAAATAAATAAAAAAGAATAGAGTGTGAGAATGAGTTTGAGAACCACTTGGGTTGCAAAAACAAGGCCCTAAGCCAAGAATTAATTTGCAAACAGCAAAAGCAGCTGGTATTTCATTCAGAAATTCCGTTAATTACAATTGTTTTAAATAAATGCAAGTGCTTAAAATTCAAAAAAAGGTAATAACAAATAAGCTTTATTTACCTTTTTTCCTTGAGCAATTATCCTACTTCCTTTGCTGCCCCGCTTTCAGCCACATGGGAACGATGACCAAGGACTACGACTATCTGCTAAAGGTCCTGCTGGTGGGCGACAGTGATGTGGGCAAACACGAGATACTCTCCAACCTGGAGGACCCCTCAACGGAGAGTCCCTTTTGCAGCGGCAACGGTGAGTGAGCGAGTGCGTGCCTGCTAGAGAAAGAAAAAGAACGAGAGAGAGAGAAAGAGAGCCTGTTGTGCCTGTTGTCCCCCATATGTGCCTGTGTTGTTTACCACCCACTCCTTCCCAACCTAATAGACTGCACATCCTCTCACATCCTCCAAACGGTAGCCTACAAGACGACCACCATTTTGCTGGAGGGCAAGCGGGTGAAGCTTCAGCTGTGGGATACCTCCGGTCAGGGACGTTTCTGCACAATCATACGCTCCTATTCGCGGGGAGCCCAGGGCATCATATTGGTCTATGACATCACCAACAAGTGGAGTTTCGATGGCATCGATCGCTGGCTAAAGGAAGTCGATGAGGTATATGAAAAATGTCATATATTTCAAAGTTTTATTTACTAAATGATGTATAAAATCCTTGTAGCATGCTCCTGGCATACCCAAGGTGCTGGTGGGGAATCGCTTGCATTTGGCCTTTAAGCGTCAGGTGGCGGCCAAACAGGCCGAGACCTATGCCAGCCGCAACAACATGTCCTGCTTCGAGATATCGCCGCTTTGCGACTTTAATATACGCGAATCCTTTTGCGAATTGGCGAGAATGGCGCTGCATCGCAACGGCATGGAGCACATTTGGCGCAGCAATAAGGGTATATATATTTTTATATATTTTTTATTTATTTTTATTTTTTTTTTTTTTTTTTTTTATTTTATTTTTTTATTTTTTTTTTGTTATTATTTTTTTTTATTATTTTTTTTTTTTTTTATTATTTTATTTATTTATTATTATTTTTTTTTTTCTTTAAATAATAATTTAATTTGGCAAAAATCAAGCTGAACTTGATTTTGCTTTTATAATTAAACCTTAAATAATCATTTTATAGCCATCATTAAAGGTCAGAGGTTTAGTTTGTTGATTGATTAAAGCTTTTGGGTTATTTTTAGTTAAATTGCGAAAATATCTTCAATCTATTAGTGATTTTTATTAATCAATTTGTTGAGGTTTTTAATGAAGATTTAATTATAACCTTTGACAGTTGGATAATACTTTGTATAACGTTTTGTTGCTTATTTTTTTTTATTTGTTTTTTATTAGTTTTTTTTTTTGGTTTTTTGTAAACTTAAAAAGCTAAAAATTATTTAGGTAAAAAAAGTAAAAATATATTTTATATTTAATAGGCTTAAAAATATTTTTTTGTTAATAATTTTTTTTTAATTATTAAAAATTAAACAAGAAAGGAAACTAACTTCGGGAAGCCGAAATTTGTATACCCTTGCCATAGGATTTATCATCCAATCAACAATCGATCATAACTAAGCAAAAAAAGCCTTAAATTCAATTCGGAAAGCTTTTCTGTGCTAGTTTTTTCTAGGGTAACAAAACTGCATACTAAATTTCACATTTTAAGAAATCAAAATTTTTGCCAATTTTTATGTGACAATTCCAACAATTTTAGGAGCTCAAAAATTAAAAAAATAATTTTTTTTTTTTAATTTCTGCAAAACATTGCTAGATCGACTCCATTTTTTGTGCTGATCAAGAATATATATGATTTATGGGGTCGGAAACGACTCCTTTGCTGACTAAAATCATAAAACCAATCAAGAAGATCTAAAATATTCACCTTCTTTAAAGGAATATTTTTAAATATTTTAAATGGTAATTTTTCTTTTATAAAAAAAATCATATCTATAAATGTCTTTGTTGAAATGTAAATTAGGTTTTAACTTTTATAACTTGGAAAATTTATGATATTTTAGAGATTGTTTTCGGGCAATATATATATTTTTCTTATAGATATGTAACACCTTTTTACAACCCTAATAATAAAATTAATATAATATAATATGATTCTAAATTTTTTTTCACAGTGCTGTCCCTGCAGGAGCTGTGCTGCCGAACGATTGTGCGACGAACCAGTGTATATGCCATCGATTCGCTGCCCCTGCCGCCATCGGTGAAGTCAACGCTCAAGTCATATGCGCTGACCACATCGCAGTGCTTCAACTCACTGACGCAGAGCTCCAGGAGCAAGAATCGCTGCAAGACACCGACGAGCCACAGTCGGAATAGTTGTGCGATCGCGTGATCGTTGCCACGTAGGCGGAATCGAGCTGCCTACTTAAATACTACTACTACGTCGTCGACGATTAACTTTAATTGAGAAAAACCCTAATTAATGTACTCTAGGCTAACACACACACACACATACACACCTCACTCGCCACCCACTCTCACCCTTTTTGGTTATATAATTTTTTTTTATGTTTTTGTTTCATCGACATTGATATATATATATAAATACATATATTTATTGCCCACTTCCCAGCAAAAAGCAGTACTTTTAACCAATCTTAAAAACATTAAATTTTGTTCTCTTTTAACCCTTCCCCCCACCCCCATCTATTTTTCCCCCTTACCACCACAACTGTTGTTAATATTATTATGTTTGTATAATTCTAATATATTTAAAGCGATCAACACAAACATCAAACACTAAAAAACTAAAAACAAACGAGAGATAAACAAGAGAGAGAGAGAGAAGAAAAGAGAGAAAGATAATTTTTGATACGGATAAAAAAAGAATTGATATATTTTTTTTTGTTTGTTTACCATCGGATTAAAGTATTCTTAGAGATGTAATTGTAACTGAAGGCGGATTCAGGCGAATTGATAAAGATAATTCATAATGAACCATAGAAATCGTGTGTGTGTCTTTATTATTTCCTCTCCCTTTCTGATTCCTGGCACTAGGGCGTGTTATGAATCTGTCCCTTTCTTATTTGGGCTTTTTTCTCTGTGATAATTATTTAATGGGGAGAGCTGTAAAAAGTGAAAGTTTTAAGCTTTTCTTATATAATTATAAATCTTTTATTGGGGAATTTCTTAAATGGGAATTTTGGTATGCGAATTCTAAATTGCATATTTGGGGTTTAATAGAAGCTAAGGTGTTTTTATTATTATTAATTTCAGCAATTTTCTGCCATTTATAAGAGGGAATTATAGTTTTATAAATTTTTATAATTTATTTTAAAATTTTATTTCATGCCAAGAGCTTGGCTTTAATTTGAAAAAGGGGTTTCAAATGTATTTCAATTTGTGAATTATTTATACCTACTTGATTATTTATATATTATTTTTTAGTTATTATTTATTATTTATATATTATTTTTTAGCTATTATTTATTATTTATATATTATTTTTTAGTTATTATTTATTTATTTGTATATTCTTTATATATTTTTTATATATCTATACTTTATTTATTTCTTTCAAAGAAATTTATTCGGCAAAATTATTTAGTATAATTTCTTTTCTTGCCATTCTGCAAAATTCTTAAATCCTTTACAAGCCAATAGCTTTATTTATCCTTAAATATAGCTTAAACTGAAATTATAATTAAATATTTCGAAAGGCAAAGAAATTCAACCACTTAACCAGATGGAAATTAGGAAAGACAAGCCAAGATATCTACGTTTTAGCCACAAATTAAATTTGATAAATATTAATACCCTTTAAATGATACAAATTGATGGGGATATATAATATATGGCAATATAAATATATACTATGATAGGGATATATAACAGGTAAAAGTCCTATATGATATAGCCACAAAAATATTGGATTGAATATCTCTTAGGAAAACGTTTAATATTGTTTTTTAAAATATAAAAAATATAGTATTGTATGTTAAAATATCGATATATACCGATATATCAGGAATAACATGGACTTATTGCACATCTATCGATAAAATACAGAATTTCCCATCAAGTATATTTTTGTATATTTAATTTTCCTTTATTTATTATTTTAAATACATTTCTTTAAAATTTAGAATTAATTTCCCACAGTATCCAAAGTTCCGTGAGCTAATAATCGAATCAGATCGATTTGTGCTTCGTTTTCAACATCTGCTCGCGGGGGCTGTCCCCTGGACCGGAGTTGTGTGTGATTAATCGGCCCGCTGCGAACCCAATTTGATATTGTAATATTATTTAAATGATTCAAATTGCCTTTCCTTCGCTTCGCCCTTTAAGCCAAGACGTCTTCTTCGCTGTCTGTTTGTGGTTGTTTTGTTTTTTTTTTTTGGCCGCTTTGCTTTACACAATTCCCGAGAGTTTGCCAATACGCGTTATACTTTTAACGTTTTATTTAATTTTTTTTTATAAATTTCGCAGAGGGAACAGCTGCTTCATTTAATGCCGAAATGATAGCGAAATTATTGCAGCAATTTGCATATCTTTTTGATCCACTCTTTAATGGGTTTTTCTTTGATTTGATTTTATTTATTTTTTTTGGCAAATTTAAAGGTATGAAAGGTGATGATTGGAGGCTTGATATGCTCATAATTGGTTCAATCGTATTTATTTTTTAAGTGCAATTTATTGGGATAATATTAAAGGGAAATATTTTTCTTGATTTAAGAACTAATTGAGTTACTTTTAATAGCACTGAAGTATGAAATAACAGAAACATACAACACCAGACCGTCACTTTATTCCAGGGATGTTAGAACCAGTTGAGAATTATATGTGCACACTTGTGAGATTTGGTGTATTATATATTTTAGGGTGTATTCGCCATGATTTTTATGAAAAAAATTACCAGAAAATCAAGTGCAATTCGCATTTAGGAAGGAAATTTAACAATATATATATTTTTTTCTTAGTAATTTATATTTTTTATAATATAAAATTAACAATTTCTTGAAAAATATAATTTACTAAGGAAAAAATATTTTATATTAAAGCTCAGTAATTTTTACTGACCGGAAACAAAAAAATAATAGCAAAATATATCAAATACAATATTTTTTACGTTTTTAAAATTTGTAAAATTTTTTATAGAAATTATTTTGTGTTATTTATAATCTTATTTGTATCGTCAGTGGAAATTTTTTCCATGAAACATGTAATTTTCCCCCCATTTGACCCTGCTGTGCTATTGGGAAAGCTATAATCTGACCCGAACTGACCTAACCCATGGATGGGATGCACCGCCTCATCAAGCGATTCGTTCATGCCCGCCGGATTAATTTTCGTCGGCGGCGGCGGCAGCGTCGACTTGCTGCTGGCCCAATTATGGAACTGCTTTTTAGTATTTATTTATTATTACCATTTTTTTTCCCCCTCGCATTCAACTCATTTGCATGCGGCTTGTGGTTGTTGGACTTCTTCTAATCCAGAGAGGAGGGCAGCTCCATGATGAAAGCAAACTGAGGGTAAGGTTGAAGCTGGAGATGGAGAAGGGGTAGGAGAAGGGGAAGGGGAAGGAGAAGGGGATGGAGATGGAGATGAAGCTGATGATGAAGATGAAGATGGAGCAGCGTCTCGCAATCGCCTCGGTGGGCTATAAAAGCCCGGCATGTCTTGGAGTGGATCATCAGTTGGCTGCCAGCTTCCCATCTTCGGCTACGTGAAGTTCCACAGTTTTCGAAACCCCAAGCAAGAAACTTCCAGCAATGAAGGTGAGTCCTCCTTGGATTTGTTTTATATATCTTTCTAACATTTAAATATATATTTTCCCCAGATCTTTGTGTGTCTCCTGGCTGCTTTGGTTGCCACCACGTCGGCTGGCTTTATTGGCGGCTCTGGCGGCGGTGGCGGCGGTGGTGGCTACAGCTACGGCGTCGGCTCTGGAGGCGGTGGTCACCAGGAGGTCAAGACAATCCAGGTGATTCATCAGGAGGGCGGCGGCGGCGGCTATTCCGGCGGCGGTCATGGTGGCTACTCTGGCGGTTATTCCGGCGGTCATGGCCACCAGGAGGTCAAGACTGTGAAGGTGATCCACCAGGAGGGTGGCGGTTACTCTGGCGGCGGTCATGGTGGTTACTCCGGCGGCGGTCATGGTGGTTACTCCCATGGTGGACATCAGGAGATTAAGACCGTCAAGGTGATCCACGAAGAGGGACACGCTCTTGGCGGCGGCGGCGGTTATGCTGGCGGTTTCTCCGGACATGGACACGGAGGACATGGTGGCCATCAGGAGGTTAAGACCATAAAGGTGATCCACGAGGAGGGCGGTCACGCTCATGGCGGTCATGGTGGTTACTCTGGCGGCGGTCATGGAGGTTATTCCAGCGGTGGACACCAGGAGATTAAGACTGTCAAGGTTATTCACCAGGAGGGCGGCGGCCATGGAGGCTACTCTGGCGGTCATGGAGGCTACTCTGGCGGCGGTCATGGTGGTTACTCCCACGGTGGACATCAGGAGATTAAGACCGTCAAGGTGATCCATGAAGAAGGACACGCTCTTGGAGGCGGCGGCGGTTATGCTGGCGGTTTCTCTGGCCATGGACATGGACACGGCGGCCACGAGGAGGTCAAAACCATTAAGGTGATCCATGAGGAGGGCGGCCACAGCCACGGTCATGATCATGGCCATGGCCATGGACATGGCGGCTTCGAGGAGGTCAAGACCATCAAGGTGATCCACGAGGAGGGTCATGGTCATGGTCATGGTGGTGGTCACGTCCACGCTCCCAGCAACGAGTACCTGCCGCCCAGCAATGAGTACCTGCCCCCTGTGGCAGCTCCTCCCTCTGGCTACCTGCCCCCAGCCTCCAGCTGGAAGTAAGCTGTGATTCGAGCCATACTGATCCTCGAGTCTCTTGTTAAGTAGTTTTAGGCATCCCTATTTTTTTCGATCCCATCTTTTTTTTACTGTTGTCTCCATTTTATATCACTTAAAAAAAAAAAAAACAAAACAAAAATAAAATACCATCTGTAAATTATAAAAATGCAGCGTGTTTTTTTCTACCAAATTTAAGATTTAAATTTTAAAATTCTTAAATTCTTTAATTTTAAAATTAAAATGTTTAAATTTATTTAAATTTAAATTATAACAAATTGATTTAAATTTAAATTTTACATTTTTAAATTTTTAAATTTTTTTTTGAATTTTTAAAATTTAAAAAGTTAAAAAAAATTAATTTAAAATTTAGTTTAAGTTTTAAAATTTAAAAATTTTTAACTGTTTAAATTTTTTAACTTTTAAATTTTTAACTGATTAAGTTTTTTAATTGTTAAATTTTAAAATTATTTTTTTATTGTTTTAAGTTTTTAAATATATATTTTTTAACTTTTAAGTTTTTAAGTTTTATAATTTTTAAAATTTTTTAATTTTAAGTCATGGTTGGGCACAGAACTTCTTAATTGGAGGTTAATGTTAATGTTGAAATTATTAAGAAATTTATTTTAACATTTTGAATATATTTCTTATTTGTATTTGTATGTATTTGGTTTTGTTTTTATAACCCTAATCAAATGGGGTTTTTTCCAGATAACTTTTTTAATATTTAAGAACCTGTTTTTTTTATTATCTTAAATTCTTCAAATCTTCTAATTTTAAATTCTTTTTTTTTCAGATGCAAAATTGTGAAAATGTTGAGCCCAAACCTATCCTGTAATGGTAAGTGTTGTAATTTTATAACATTTTTTATTAAATTATATTATTATGAAATTTAATTCTATAATTTTCTGTAAATTATAATCCTTTCTTTTAATTCCTTACAAATATAACTGAAAACTATATTCTTTACTCTTTCTTTTAACGGTTTGTTGGTCAGTTTAATACTATACATAATTTTCAATCTCTCATTTCGTTTCCACTTTCGATCGGCTGTTTAATTTCACTTTTGAATCGTTCGATCAATCGATCGAATTAACATAATCATGGTCGCGTCATCCGAATTAGCGGTAGCTCAACGACCTAATTATCAATGATTTTATGCATCCCATGGTTTTTTTTTGTATCTAAAGGGTTTTTCGTTTGTATATCTTAATGTTTATTTAGTGAATCTTACGGTTGCAAGTCAGTATCTTAGGTACTATTTTGTATTTGGGGGCACAAAAATATTAATTAAGATCAGTGGGGGTTATTTATTAATATAATTAAAAGATTTTATGTGGGTTTTAAATATTTTAAGGCTTGAAATTAATTTTATAAAAGCAAATAACCATTTTCGTGTTGATTTTAAGATTTTAAAAATTAAAATTAAAAAATATAGTGTATTCTTAAGGTTTATAATTTAAATATTAGTTTGTTTTCTATTAATTAAAAAGCAGAAGAATTTTTTTGAACTTAATTAATTTTAAAATAACTTATTTTTATATTCTAAAATTAATTGTTTAACGATTTAAAAAAAATTCTTTGAGTGTACACATATTTTCTTTGAAGAAGAGTGCAGTGTTTCAAGTTTTCATTCTAAAACTAATTAAAATAAATAAATTTATGTTTAAATAAATATATAAATTTAAATCCCTTTTGGAATTTACATATAAATAAATATATAAAATTAATCTTTTGTTTTTTTTTTATATAAATAAATATTTAAATTAAATCTCTTTTAGAATTTATGTATATAAATTCAACATTTATATTTATTTTTAAATCATTAAACAATTCACTTCACTTGTGTGGCCACATCATATCCATGCGCCTCCTCTTGACCGCATTCCGCTCGGCTATCTGGTTACTCTGGCCAAGATACTGATGCAGCGGCAGAGGTCGTGGCGAGGAAGAGGTGACCCCCAGTGGAAACTCGCTGGTGGGCCGCCACTTGGAGGGCAGCCAGGGTGAGTCGTAGTCCTGGAACTTGCTCTGGTACTTGCTCTTCTCTTTGGTAACTGCTTCCTGATAACTCCCACTACCACTGCCACTGCCAGTGCCCTTTTGATCCTGGTGCACCTTTAGATTCAGCAGAAGCTCGCCATCATCATCGATAAGATTGTACAGCTGAACGCCCTTGGCCTCTCTCAGGGGATGGGCCCGTTCCAGGCGGATTTGTGGCTTCACCCGGGGCTTGAGAATCGGTGCCGGTCTTTGGTAGCGCGACGAGCGATCCTGCGACTGGAGCTGCCGGAGTATGCCCAGGGGCAGCAAAAGATCCGATTCGTAGGGCATAAAGCCGCTGGCTCGCACTCTGATGATGTTCCTGCTGCCGTAGCTCCTTACCAAAGCCATAAGAAGCAGCAGCAGGCTTAATGTATTTAGCACGGTTAGCATTTTAGCTCATCCTGGTCGTCAGGATCACGGTCACAAAATATATATAAAAAAAAAACGAGTGAAAAAAAGTAAACAAAATAAAACCGAAACTGGGAGCGATGGAGGAGCGCGTTCTGGGCCCGTGTTGCATCAACTGAACGGACTCGGGAAACTCGAACTTCGATGGCTGCGACCTGACACCGTCGGTGGCTCCATGCACTGCGCTCGTAAAAGCGAATTAATTAGAGAAAATACCGTACGGTACACGGGCGTGCACAGTGGTTCGAAAGTTATTTTATTTGGGTAACTTAAGGAGATATTTTATTTGGGGAAAATTAATTAAACCCTTGGCTTAACATATTTTATTGTTTAAAAATATTTAGAAAACTCTCTTGATATTTTCACTAAATAGGTGAATGGATTTTATATAAAAAAAATGTATAACTTGTATTTTTATAAAATTTTTAATATAAAAAATACTTTTAAAATATAAAGCCATATAGAAAAAGCTTAAAATTTACCAAAAGTAAACAATTGATTTATAACCCTAAATATATGATAATAGTTTTTAAAATAACAATTTCAGAATATATTAGCTCAAAAGTTATTTAAACTTAGTTATTTATTTATAATTTTACTGTATTTTATTAGTCAAAAATATATTTTGGGATTATAAAAAACCTATAGTGTCCAAAAATATATTTAAATTTTTAAATAATTAAATAAGTAAACTTTTCAGTCTTTAAGATTAATTTATAAATCGAATTATTGTATTTTTTAAGGATTAAGGATGTATTTTAGGTTTTAAAATATATATTTTCGTTAAAAATTAACTACTTTTAGAATATTTTAGTCCTTAAACATCCAGAAAATTAGAAAAACGTGCTGTCAAGGAGTTATTTAAGCTTAGTTTTAAATTTAAAAATTTAAATTACAATAATTTATTAATTTATTTAATAAAATCCTATAAGAAATAGGTCAAAATTAACTTCCAATTAAAAAGAAATATATCCATAAATTCAAAGAAAAATCTCTTGTAGTTTATTACAAAATAAATAGTAATTTAAAATAAAAAATAACTTTAATATTTAATTAGATTCTTGTCTAATTTTCCATCTGGCAACCACTATGCCTATGATATGTCCAACACTTTTGAATTGAAAATAAAAACATAACTGGCCAGGCCCCAAGAGCGTTTATTGTTGCTGTGACTGTTGTGGCTGAGGCGGCTCTTTCTTCCTATTATTTCCTCTATTATGTTATGAGCAGCACAAATTTATTAAAACATCAAGTGAGTCAGCGAGTGTGTGATACCTGATTTATGCCAGAGTTAACAAGAATAATTCTTTGAATGCTGCCACTTTTGTGGAATGACATTAAACTGGTTCACGCGAGTTGTTGGGCCATTATGTTGGCCATTAAGGTCTGAACTCCACCGTCCACTCTCGCTGCCACACACACACACACACACACACACACAGCATAAACATATCCATGTATACTATATATATGTACATCCGACTCATTAGCATTTAAACAAAAGTCAAATCTCTATGCAGATTGTCTGAAAAGTTGAAAAGCTAATAGAATTTTCACTGCAGTTGACACTGGTTCACTGATCACTCTCACTGCTTTACATTTGCATAACGGACTGTAAAGTACAGTGCGGGTCATGGTTGTGGGAATTTATTTTAGGGGTTAAAAAATAAAGAAAAAACAAAAATAACTTAATAAGGGAAATATTTATGGTTTTAACAAGATTAAAAATTAATAAATAATATTTTAAAAATATATATAAAAATATTAAAAGGTTCCATTAAATTAATTACAAATTTTTATATACTTTAAATATTTTTAAAATACGTAGTATGTTGTATTCAAAAATATAATATATATAAAATGTAAAATATGTGGAAAAACCTTACATTAAGCTTTGTTAAATTTTTTAAAAGGGAAAACAAATATTTTAAGGGTTTTAAAAGTATTAAAAAATATATTAAACATTTGTTACTGTTTTTAAAAGTATTAAAAAATATATTTAAAATTTGTTGCTGATTTTAAAACTTATTAAAAACAATAATAAATAGAAAAAAATAATATAAAATTAACACAACAAGCAATAATTTACCTTTTCTTTTGTTAACTATTTCCACTGCTGAAACGCACTGTACTCTTCTACAGTCAGGGGCTAACGGTAGCACATTCATTGATCACTTGATTGACACATTGTTTTAAACACAAACGCCTGTTGTTGATGTATTTTTTTTTTAATATTATTTATTTCCCATAGACGTGGACTTTTGGCTTATCAACTAAATTTAAGAACAAAAAAAATTTGCAAAAAAAAAAAAATGGATTCATATAGGTATATGTGTATATATTAGAGGTTTACGCCGATGGTTAAAGGCATCGGCGGCGGCGTAGAGGTCAAAATGACTCGGCGGCGGCGGCGTAGTAGTCAGAAAGAACCGGCGGCGGCGGCGCGTCAAATAAGGCAAAAAGGCCATTTTAATGAGTTATTTATTTTTTTTTAAGTTTTATAAAGAACAATGACACTGAAGGCCGCGCTGAAGCTGCGCCGATGCCGCACCAGCGGCGCGCCGCGGCGCGCCGTTATTTTCATAATTTGGCGGCGGCGCGTCAAATAAGGCAAAAATCGGCGGCGGCGGCGGCGTGGCGCGGCGGCGTATATGTCTAGTATATATAGATAAATATGAGGAGGGATATCTGTACAATTAGAGAGTATCGACTTAAGATTAAGACTAGAATTATGCTTCAATTTTGAATAGTTTTTTTTTTAACTTAACTAAAAAAAATTATGTAATTTCGTTACAATTTCTTTTTTTTGTTGTTGTTAATCTCTGGTTAAGTATGAATATTTACATGTACAAATACTGTTGCTCTAAAAAATATATATTTAATTAGGAGATATTCGATATTAAGTTTCTTATTATTTTGTTTAGTCCAAAGTGATGTGCGGATTCGTGTAGGTGAAGCCATGGAACTGCTTTTGATCCATGGAAGCCAGAATCTCCTTGTCGATGGGCGTTAGACGCACTCGCTCCCTGGTAAAAACGCGATCGAAATATTGTGTATCCAGGGGATGTTTCTGGGTGGGAAAAATATTAAAAAATAAATTATATATGTATTATATATAATATTATTAAAGAAATGTATATAAAAGCTTACCACTTGCGGCTTAAATGGCGGCTCTATTTGCCGCTTTTCCAGCAGACCCCAATCGATGGGTCGGAAAAATATGTGATCGGCTATATCGCCAGCGGGACTATACTGGGAGCCAATGCGCTTCGTATAGTCCTTCTCCAGCAACTGAAAAATTATAAAATAAATAATATTAATATATAAATATTAAATTAAAAATAAAATATAAATTATATATCCGTACCCCACGAAGTATGCCAGTTGCCTCGGCAGATATATAGACTGGGAACCATGGAATTTCATTGCAAATCGACCAGAAGAGCTCGTCCTCGTCACAGCCACTGAATGGCGACTGTCCAATCAGCATTTCATAGAGCAGCACACCGAACGACCACCAATCCACGTTCTGATTGTACTTTTCGCCCTGCAAAATACATAATATAGATTATAGTTTTAATATATGGTATATATCATAAAAAGGTTAATTAAAACAGTCGAATATATAATTTTCCAATCAAAAACTGAGCTTTAATTTAAAAAAAAATACAAAGAAAACAAAACGTGGTTTCATTGGTCGTGGGAATTTCCATTATCATTGGATGCTGAGAGAGTTTCGGCTCTCTCTCCGCTCTTAGCTTCGCAATTCCTTCTTTCCTTCATCATTCTTATTCGCCCACGCAAATTGTTTGGTCAATAAACGTTGCACTCTTATGAAAACGCTGAACAAATGCAATTGCAAGTGCGAGTGAGACAGCGCGACTGGCCAGTGTCAGTGATGTGAAAAAGTCCCGTTGGTTTCCGCCTTGCTTTCTTGCTTTTCTCCTTACTCTGATCCGTAAAAGCAAAGCAAAGAATAGAGAGTATGAAAAAGGGTGAAAAACGGGCAAAAAATGACCGAAAATGTGCCGTTTGTTGTTTTCTGTGGTTCAAGTAAAGGAAATGCCAGTGATTTGCCTAATTTGTAATACAAACAGGCGAGTAAACTTCGCCTATTGATTTTCTATATTTCGTTTATTTTATTTGCCTCCCTTATTGTTTTTGTTTTTTTTCTGGATTTATTCTTATGCACATTTGCTGTGAAATGTTGCTCAACACCCAATTAGGTACAAATGCTGCTAGAAAATGTTGACAAGCGAACCCAAATGTTGCTCAACACCCAGATAGGTACCGATATTGCTAAGAAAAGGTTGATTAAACAGGGCAATAGAAAATGTTGACAAGCGAACCCAAATAGCGAGAAATGTTGCTAAGAACATGTTGAGCGCACTAGAAAATGTTGAAAAGCAAAACAAAATGTTGCCCTACACCGAGTGGGGTTTTCATTATGGTTTTCATGGTACTAAATATATATAAAAAAACAAACAGGCTTTGTTGTCCCCCTAGCACCACAATTTGGAGGGTAAATATTTAATAAAAGCTACGCATAACTGTCGAAATAATAATCCCTCGGCTGCCGCTTAGCTCAATTAGCGCTTGCGTTCACGGTTGTAGTATTTCCACGTTCTGCAAATAGTCGGCTTCACCAAGTAGGTGCACTCGTCGGACGGCAGGTCCGGATAGGAATCGTGGCAACACTCTGAGAAGCACGGGTACTTTGTTTTCCGTCTTTCGCAGTAGCCAGTCTTGAGGGGGTTTTGGCATATGAGAGGTTCGCATGGCTCCGCCGAGCAGTTGGACACCTTCAACCGCTTGCAAATGTTGGGCGGTTTCATTAGTTGACATAATTCACTGGGATCAAGCACGCACTTGCTCTCCGTACAATGAGTTTTCCTGGGTAAAACATCCTTGCGTTGGCGTCGCGGAGGGTTTGGCGGTAATGGGATGCACTGCACCTTGCCCTGGTGACCTTTTACCGTGCACTCGTTCCAGGTGCGCGGATACTGGCGTGTCAACATATTTTGGGGCTTGTAGTGAGTGAGATCCCAGCCTGGTGCTTCTTTAGCTTTGAATTCTGGGTACGAGCGCCACTTGTACTCCGTCTGCCAGCAGGCGTTGGTCACATTGGTCCTTTCCGGCGGCATGAGGTCGGGCCTGGGGTACGACCTGGGCACCTTGTGGTACAACTGGTTGCGCAACGGTGCCACCAGTGCGCCAAACAAGCTTTGCGGAAGCCGGGACATCGACAGGAGGGCTAAGCCCTTACACTGCATTACACTTGACATAATTTTTTGCCTAAATTTTACACAATTTAATCCTTAAAATGAATAGACAAATTTGGAACTCAAAATCATAAAAAAAAAACACAAGGAAAGAATTTTTAGACAAATCACGACCGAAACTGGGGTGAGGATGTGTTAATCCATTGAAACTGTTTGTGAGACTGATGGCTGTCACAGTCTCTGGTCAAGTAACTTGACATTTGAACTGAAGTAAGGATCATGGGTATGTGGATTGGATAAATTTATGTTATTTTTATCATCAAAAAGGGATTTCCAAAATTCGAATTCCTAAAAATAGCTAAGTCCTTCTATTCTCTCACATTTTCTTGTAACTTCTGGTTGTATTATATCGATTTATATAAAATTTTTTGATTTGTTATCAAAATATATATATTTATTTGAATTACCTTAATGATTTCGGGCGCCATATAATCGGGTGTGCCGCAAAAGCTATCGGCCGTCTTGTCCAAATAGATTTGCAATTTGCACATGCCAAAATCGGCAATACGAACATGTCCCTCGTAATCCAAAAGGACATTATCCAGCTTGAGATCTCTGTTGAAAATAAAAAAAAAATAAACATAATATATATTAGTTTATATTTATTATTATTTTTTTTTATTATAAACTCACCTATAGATAATGCCCTTTTTGTGCAGGAACTTAAGGCCCGATATGATTTCGGCGCCATAGAATCTGGCCCGCTCCTCGGAGAAGCGTCCGCTCTCCTGGATGTGGAACATGAGATCACCGCCATTCAGATACTCCATCACAAAGAACAAGTGGCTCTGGGGGATACATTTAAATGTTATAAATAATCGAAATCTAAGATCGATATATCGATTTATATAAATATTTAAGAGCATATGTTGATAATATTTTACAAATACCATATTTATTATAATTAATAATATATTCGATAATTATGGAGATGTGACATTATCGATATATAGCTTATCGTTTTTCAAATGGACGAGAGACTGACTGCCAGAACCAACGAGAGATTTTGTTCTTTCTGGGGGAGATCGTCCCCCAAAGTCATAAATAATTAAAATACCTTCTAATCGGTGTCAATGTTGCGAATTGAAGATGCAGATGCAGATGCAGAATTCGCAGCGAGAGAACAAACTCAGAGATCTCGGACGGACAGGCACCCTGATCTACATGATGTCCGATCGACGTTGTCGTCGTCGTGTGCCTCAAATCGATGGCCAGACCCCAGGGCTCTAATTATAGAGCGTTTTACCTTTTCTTGGGCTAAATATAGCCAGATAGGCCAATCGGATTGTTCTATATAATCAGACACACCTTCGATTGGTGACCCTAATTGAAAAGGTGTGAAAATCGGTCTTGATTGTTTTTTTTATAATGTGTTTTCGTTTTGAACAGGAATTAGTTTTGGAAATTTTTTTTTATATTATGGGTATTTCTTATTAAATATTTATAAGTTTCTATTTAAATAATTAATTAAATTATTATTAAATTAATTTAAAAAAGGCTTTGTAATACTAAAATTTAATTTGGGGGTCATTGACTTTTTGTGACCTTAAACAAGGTCTGCTGCTTCCTCAACAGGTGGCTAAGCAGATAATGACTCATTCGATATAAATTTAGATGTTTAAAAAGTCTTTTAAAATTAATTTATTACTTTTATAATTAAGGTATATATTTATATATATTTTAGAATTAAAAAAAAGAATAAGGAAGTACTTTTTATATAATTTTTGTTCAAAAAATTCTTGTAATGCCTTAAATATTATCTTAAAAAATTCTTTATAACTAAACAATAATTATATTAAAATCCCCTTAAAACTCACCTCCGTTTGGAAGGTGCAAAACAGATGACACAGATAGGGATGTTTGGTGCCCAGGGCCAGGACCTTGCGTTCAATCAAAGTCGAGTCCACATCATCGTCCTCCAGTACGACATCCTTTTTCAGGCACTTGATGGCATAATAGTACGTGGTATCACGCAGCTCGGCCAACAGAACCTGTCCAAAAAAAAAACAATCACAATATTTAATTAATATACGTAATAATAATAATTAAAGACAAGACAATGAACTCACCTTGCCGAAACTTCCTTTGCCAAGAACGGCGAGAAAGTGGAAATCATCTACCGAATAATTCTTAAATCTAGGTATTACTGTTGCTGGCGCAGTGAAACGTCCGGATTTTTGGAATTGTGAATATGTATATGATGTTTCTGTTCAAGATTTATATATAGTTGCAGTGGTAGAGTTGATAAGAAAATACAGAGAGAGAGGAAGACAAGGAGAGATATGTATATAGTGAGCTGGGTTAGTTAAAATAATTATAAATTTAAGAAATATTTATTAGAAGAGGTCTATGAGAGTACTGGTTCACTTGAGTGGCAATATATATGTATCTAAGGATCTTATATTATTTAGCATACCATCGTGTTCCTCGCTTGGCTCGATTTTATACGCTGGATTCAAGCTGGGGGGAGTGCTGGGCGAATCGCGGGCTTCACGGGCTCCTAATTTATTTTGTTTATTATTTAAAAATAAATTAGTTGGGTTCTATCAAAGATCTGGGAGTATTTCAGATGATTTTTCTATTATATTATATTATTTATTTATGTGAACTTGATTTTGCTTGAATGTTATGAAAGTAAGATAGCTTAAAATGTGATTATTTTAAATATATTTTTGGAAATATTAAATTTAAAAATTGAAAGAAAAAAATACTAAATTATATAAAAATAAATATTTTTAAATATTTAAATATTTTTTAATTTGTAATTTGTTTTAAATAATATTTAAAATATTAATTTAAAATGCCTGTTTTCGGCCTCAAGCCTAACTTTAACATTATTTAATTGATTTTTTAAACAAAAAAATATATTTCTTTTTTATAAAAAAGCCTTGAATAATATCATATTTTTTTTAAATTAATTTTATTTAATTTATTGAAAACCTGTCTGTTTTATTTTATTATTTATTAGTATTCTTTTTGTTTTTTTATGTAAATAGTTTACTATATATATATTTTTTAATATATTTAAAAGAGCTATAAATAAATATCTGTAAATCCTATTATCACATTAAAAAATATCTCCATTTTAAACAAAATCAAGCCCATATATAATCATAATTTTACGTCCTTGATCGTTTCCCATTTTTATATTTTTTGTGTGTGCATTTTGTATAGTTTTTACCTCGTTTCACGTAGTTGAGTGCCTCGACGATGAGTTTCTGATTGACACCGCATAAATTGGCCGTGAGCCGCTCGCATTTCTTGTGACAATTCACGTCACATTCTATGGGATCGATTTTTGTTTTGTATGAGTATATATATGTATATATATGCCCACGCATCGCATCGAGAAGAGGAATTAAGTGCAAACAAATTGTTATTAAAATTTTAGCAGCATGAAAAATGTGTGTTCCTGTTGCGATTTATTATTGGCTGATTTTTGGCTTTTCTTTTTTTGGGAAAACGTTTAGTAATTGCTTCGAAAAATAAATGGTATTTGTTTACCCATATCCCATATTTTCTATTTATAGTGCATATATATTATGTATTTTGTTCCGTATTTGTTTACATATTTTTAAATACTTTTTAAAGTAAAAAACACGATAAACAATTAATTTAAATTTAATATTTAAAAGTTTAAAAATGTCTATTCTATAATTTCTCACAGTGCAGATTAATTGCATTCAAGACATTCGATTTCCGCTAATTAATATTGGCCTCTGCTGGTCGGGATGTTCACAAACAATGCGAATCCGCTTTTTGATTGCATTTCCAACCAATTGACCGGATATCACGTATACGCAGTGTGGTAACGAAAGTCAAAACAAACGGATTTCGAACATTCCCTCTTTCAAAGTTTATATAATCGGCAAATTGACTTGGCTATCTGGCTCATAACTGCGTTGTTTTTATATTGTTTTGGTACTGCAGAGGGGAATGTATATACCATATACACATATATATCTATACAGATATAGCTTTACTATATATCCTCTAGACATTGTTCCCCCCAAAAAGAAAAGCTCGCCGCTGCTCAGACAGACACGACGATGACCTAAACAATTTGTTTTCATTTGTTGTTTTGGCTAAAAGTAAAATGCCAACTTGTCGATTTTCTTTTCCTTCTCACTCTCTCTCCCTTTTCAGAATTTTCCTTTTGCAGCTCTCTCTCTCGGCAATTTTCTCTTCTTTTGTGTAGTTTTATTGCGGCTTCTGGCAGCGGATCTCTGATCTCTCTGGCAAATTCTCGCACAAGCATCAAGGAAACGCCACCACGGAACAGTAATCAACGATAAAATTCTCGACGAAAAATTACATAAAACACGAAATCGACTAAAAGAAATAGGAAGTCGAAAACATAGGGGTATTTTACCTATAAGCAATGCCTAATTTTATATGATTTTTCTAGGCACAATACAATGTTTAATTGTAGCAAAGAAGAGTCACTTAGGGATGTAGTTCAACAAATAATATTCACCAATATTCAACAACAACTAAAGAATGACTGATTCGGTTCAACAACAGCTTTCAACAACAGCTTTCAACAACAGCTTTCAACAACAGCTTCTAACATCCACTTTCGCCTACAGTTTTCAACAATAATCCGTAGCATCCGTGTTAAAAAACACTTTTCAACAACAGTACTTTACAATACTTTTCAGCAACAGTATTTAACAATACTTTTAAACAACAGTTTTTAACAATACTTTTCAACAACAACGCAAAAGCCACCACAAAACCAAATAACAACAAAATAAAATAAACAAATTGATTGTTTTTCAGAATAAAACAAACAAATGACAAATGTTATTTCACAAAAAACCACAACACCAATACATTTTCCAAATATTTCAAATTCCAATTCATTAAGTTCCTTTAAAATAATTAATTTCTCACTATTTATTCCCACTTAAATGTCGCATAAAAATGTTGAAAGTCTCACATTTTCACAGCCAATAACTCACAATTTTCCTCCAGCTGCTGCTCACTGGCTGGCTGGTCAATGAACTTTTGTCATCATTGTTCACAGCTTTTCCCCGAGAGATGATTTTCGTATAAAATGATTTGGTATGATTTTTCACTTCCTAGTTAACACCTCGAATGTGGGTCTAGTAATGGGACCAGCAACTTGCCGAGTGAATATTCTTATAGTCTTACGAATTATACAAATTGTGTGGGGATTTTTACTTTGCCCGGGATCTCGCTGCTATATATGCTTAGCTAACTGAAAACATTATGACTTTTGTTTATTTCGCTATCTTTTGTTTTTCTTTCATTCCTGAAAATTGTTTGCATGCCTATCTATAACTCATATCTATTGAGAGAGAAACCGAAAGCATTCCGAAATGGTTGGGGGGGAAATTCAGTAAGTCGGAAAAGCGCTCTTATTTTTCTTCGATTTTTGTTTTTTGACCCAGACACGTGCCGCACTCAAGTGACCAGTGGAAAGGGGGGGGATAGGATATTGTTTTCTTAGATGCACAGAGATAAAATTATAGCTATTTCATGGAAATCTTCGAGTAATAATATTAATTATTAAAAAAAAATATATATTTTCTATAGATTTTCATATTTTAAATAATCGTTTTTCTTAAGTGTTTTGTTCTTTTCAAAACTTTTTTAATTAATTAATTTTCCTAGCCGCTTATAATTTTCACTCTGTGCCTGATCTTTCTTTACAAAAGAGAGAGGACATTATTCCTGTCGCCTTACCTAACATCTTCTTGGGACTGGAGGGCGCGGTGCCGCCCTCAAAGCCGGAATCGTTGCTGCACGTGCTCATACGTATAATGGATGGCGATCCAGAACCGGAACCGGCAGCGGCAACACCACCACCACCACCACCAGCAGTAGAACCAGCGGCTGTAACGCTCAAGGTAATGGCACTGGTAGCTGTTCCACCACCATCAGTGGAATCCTTGCCAGCATTTGCCTTTGAATCCACGGAACTGGCACTACTTGCCGAGGATTCACTGCACTCCTCGCTCTCATCGTCGCTATCCTCATCCAGGGATCCACCTGATCCCTCCTCAGAGCCACTCTCATCGTCCGTATTCTCATCGGAATAGACAATCTTTTCGCGCTTCCACAGGGGACGCGGTGTGGCCACTAGTGGATATCGTGGCGCCTCCTCCTTTACATAGCACTTGTTGGTAGTATCGATTTTGATCTTCTTTTGGGGATCAAAGCGTTTGGCTTCGGCAGCGGCTTTCGCCTTTTGCTTTTTCTTCTCCTTGCGCTGTTTCTTCTTCATGCTGGCCGTCAGGTGGATAGAACCGTCGATGCTGGAATAATCTGGCGAACTGACGTCGTCGTAGCTATCGTCGCTGCTCTCGGCCGACGATGGGACGTAGTCCTCTAGAACGGCATCAACGTCTCGCAGATACTGTGCCAAATTCGATACTGTTGCAAACTTTGATAAATTATTGCCGACGCCGTCGGCGATGCCTTCGCCGCAGCTGTTGTCGTTGTCGTCGTGGTCGCGGTCGTGAGCAACATCAAGAGCGGGAGCGTTAACAGCAGTAGCAACAACATCAAGAGCGGTAGGACTAGCACCTAGACTGGGAGCAACACCTAGACTGGGAGCCACATTGAGAGCAGAAGTTGCAGAAGTTGTAGGCGTTGCAGTTGTCGCATTGCTTGTTGCTGCCGCGGCTGCTGCTGCTGCTGCTGCTGCCGGCGATGACGCATTTGTGGCCTGTTGCTGCTGTTGCTGTTGCTGTTGCACTTGCAATGCCTGCTTGCTGGGGGCCAGCGTTATAAATTGATCGGCATTGATTGGGGTCACATTGCTCTCAGTATCAGGCTGAGATATTGCCGCTGTTGCTCCTGCCTTCTTTTTGCCGGCACTTTTTGGCTTTATCGCTTTCGGTGATTGCACCTTTGACTTGGCGGCTTCCGTCAATTTCGTTTTGGTTTCCGTTTGCCCTGCCAATGTTGCTGCCGTGTCGTGTTGCTGCTGCTGCTGCTGTTGTTCCTTATGCGTTGTTTTATTTATTTTCGTTTCGGCTGAGACCGAGACAGCGGCTGCCGTTGCCTGTTGTTGTTCAGGTGACTTGGCCATTTGCCCGCTATTTATTTTTGGCCCTGCTGTTTCGTTCAGTTTTGATTTGGCCGCTGCTGTTGGTGTTGCAGCAGCAGCGTTGCCAGATATTGTTTTAGCTGTTGCTGCTGCTGCTCCTCCGACTGCTGTCTTACCAACAGTTGTTGCTGCTGTCATCGCTGTTGTCTTTGCTATTGTTGTCTTTGGAATTGCTGGTGCTGTTGTTTTGGCTTCATCTGTCGCTGGTTTGAGTGGGGTTGCTGCAGCTTTAATCTGTGGAGTTGTTGGTGTTGCAGCTTTAGCCTGTGGGGTAGATGTTGGTGGTGAGACTTTTGTTGGTTCTACAGCTTTGATTTCTGATGTGGTTGGTGAAACTTTTGTTGTGGGCTCAGCTTTTATCTGCGGCGTTGGTAATTTTTTCTCCTTGTCTGTTGGTGAATCTTTTCCAGCTGATGGCTTTTCTTCCTTGCTTGTTGGTGAACTTTTTGTAGTTGTCTCTGTTTTGATTTCTGTTGTTGTTGGTGAAGCTTTTGCTTTTTCCTGCAAGCTTGTTGGTGTTTCTGTTTTTATTTGCGTTGTTGGTGGTGAAACTTTTGTTGGTGTTTCCGTTTTTATTTTAGGTGCATCCGGTGTTTTTGGTGTTTCTACTTTTAGTGGTGGTGTTTCCACAATTATTTTTGGTGTAGTCACTTTAGTTGTTGGTGAATCGTTTGAGGGCGTTGTAGATTTCGCCTCCACCACCGATGTTGCTTTTGGTGAAACCTTTTTGGCCAAAACAGTTGTTGTTTTGGGTTTAGCAGCATCCGCTACAGTTGGTTTTTTCTTGGGTGATGTGACTTTTAATTTTGGTGTATCAGTTGTGGGTGTTGTTGTAGTTTTTGAAGAATCTTTGCCTGTACCTATTGAGCTCTTTATCTCGGTTGGAGTGGTTGCTGTCTTAAGTTCTATGAGAAGTTCCGACTTAAGTTTCGGCGTTGTTGGTGTCTTTGATTCTGTCTTTGTTTCCTTGGGTGTCATTGGTGTCGTTGGTGGCATTTCCTCTTCGAGGAGTCGCTCCTGTCGCTCTGCATTAACCTTTTTCCGATTGGTCATGTAGAGAGTTTCCCGTGATCCAATTTGCGACCAAAAGTCCTCACCGCTTTCGGATTTTTGAATGGCCTTGCGAATGGGCTTGGGGGTGGCCACACCACCCTCGATCTTGGTCTCTGTTGACTTTGGCGTGGCCACACCACTTACCACTTTGGCCTCTGTTGGCTTGGGCTTCTGCTCCTGATGTTGCTGCTGCTCTTGATGCTGCTTCTGCTGCTGCTCCTGTATGGCCGCCTCGTCGAAGGTAAAAATCTGCGCCACACTCACATGCTGCTCCGGCTGCTGGCCAGCCTTGGCGCTGCTGACCTTCTTTAGCGGCGATGTCTTGGTTGTTTTTGGAGCTGCCCGCATGAATCCCTCCGGTAGGACGGCCTGCTCTCTCACCTCCACCGCCGCCGGTGGTGTCTTTTTCTTGGGCAGCTTGAAAACCTTGTGTATCTGATGGTGCTCCTCCACCGTCTCCACATTCACCGTGAACTTGGGCTTGGGACTGGGACTTGGCGTGGAACTCGATCCCGAACCGGAGCTGACAGCGGCCAATGACTGTAGGTTCGAGGTGTCCTCATTCAGTTCCAAAACACTGGGCATATGATCGATCTGTGGCGTCACCTGAGGGGCATTCTCCACCTCCACAATGGCGGTGATCTTGTGGCGCAATTTCTTGCTCTTCTTGGAGCGTCGCTTGGCTCTCTCGCCGCTAGCGGCCTCATCCGCTGTGGTGGTGCTATCATGACTGGACCGACGCTCCAGGTGGATCAGCTGGAAGGTGCCAGAGCTGGACTTTTGCAGCTTGTTCAGGATCTCCTGCTCCTGTTCCTGTATAATCGAAGCCCGGCGTCGCAGTTCACCGGCATTCAGATCGTCGTCTATCTTGTCGGAAGAGATATCCTCACAAATGTCATGGAACGTGGGACACTGCACCAGGCTCAGCCGCCGTATGGTCTTTTCAATTTCCTCAAGATTTTCCTGCTTCTCCGAGGCGGAGATGGAGGCGGTGTCCGAGTCCTCCTGTTCTTCCTTGTCCAGCGTGGCTTTGGTTTCCGTCACCTCTGGAGTTTGACTCCTCTTGAGGTTCTGTCTGAGTATGGGCTGTGCCTGCTCTTCCTTCTCATCTCTGATGTAGAATCTCTCCCGTAGCAGTTCTCCCGGTGACTTTTTATTGCTGGTGGCGGGAAAAGCGGCTAGTTCTTCGGCCAATTTCTGGCGCCAACTCAGACTGGGCTCGGTGGCTGGCGGCAGATCCCTGAACTGATGATCCTGTTGTGCCTGCTGCAGAACCTGCTCCTTGGGACGTTCCTTGCTGCGCCTGCGAATCGTTGAGAGCCGAACGACGGCACGATTTCTTTTGATGGTGGATCTACGATTGGGACGGGCTTCGGTTCTTGCCGGATCTTGATTATCCGATGAGGTGACCTCCTCCTGTCTGTCTGTCTCCTTGGGTGTGATCTCTTCTTTGATTTCCTCCTTGGACTGCAAAGGTTTTTCCTCCTTCTGCTCCTTATCCTCCTTCTCTTTTTCGATGGTCCTGGCTGAGGACACTCCCCGGCGATATCTTGAGGAGCTAACATCTATATCCGCCGTATTAATGGCAATGGGACGCGGTGGAATATATCGGCTTGTGGTCCCCGAGGAGCCATAACTGGGACTGGACACCGAGGAGCTGCTGTATTTGGGCGACTGGATTCTGGTCAAAGGCATCAGGCTGCTGTGACCACTATGCCGGCCGGTCTCGGTGATTGTGGTTAGCTTTGGCTGATACCGTGAAACGGAGGAGGATGTGGAGCTGCTGCCGGTATAACTGCTGGGGGAACGCGGCGAGGAGGGACCCAGCGGCACCATATAGCTGGCCGGATAGGAGCGATTGTAGCTGGAGGTGTAACTGGAGCCGGGTGAGCCCAGATTTAGGCCCAGGCCGGAGCTATAGTACGGCGAATACAGCTGGCTGCTGCCGCCGCTGTAATAGTAGTTGGTCGTGTCCGAGTACAGAGGCATAGCGAGGCCTTTTTTCAACACTTATTGAACCAAAAAAAAAATATATAAAAAATGTTTTGTATATCACTCTGTGTGTTGTTGGCTTTTCTTTTGGCAATTTTTCCGCTTTTCACTGTTTTTTTTTTCGGTTGAATTGTTTTTTCTTGATTCGTTTAGGATCTCATATTTTGTGTGTAATTACGCTGTGATGCAAAAACATATAATATCTAGATAGTATGTATTCCTAAATGGCACACGGGGGTTATTTATTTGTCATATTTATTGGTTTAGTTATTAATTAATTAATTAATTTATTCTCAGGTTTATTTATGTAATTATTTTAATTTTTTATGGTTGTATTCATTTCTTTTTTCATAAAAATAATTTTATCTTTATTTTTAAAAGGCCCACAAAAAAATATACATAAAAACCTACTTAAAACCAAGTGTAAAGTTAAAAAAAAAATATATATAAAAAAATTAATAAGAAAACTAAAAATGGAAAGTAAAAAAAGACTTTTAAAATAATTTTACTAAGCTTTTTGTACCATTTTTTGGTTGTTTTCATATTTTTTTTTTGGTTTTTCTATTTGAAAAATGTGTTAAAAAAAGTAATATATTTTTAAGCCAGTCAAAAATTAATTGTAGTTTTTCAAAATGAATAATTTTCCTAATATTTTTCTAAAAATAAAATAAATTATATATATTTTAAATATTTTAATATAATAAATAATTAAAAAAAAATTAAATAAATATTAAAAAATAGTTAACGAGTTGAATTATAGGACTTGTTGTTAATCAATAAATATAATTGTTTCTTTCATTAATGAAAATCTCCAAAAAACCAAAACAAATGTCTAAAAGACTGAAAAGTTTTCTTCAAAATAAAAAAAAGGTGTTAATTGCTTGAAATAAACACACTTCCCTCTACTTCCCTGTACTTCCCTCCCCTGTTCAGTATCTTTTCATTCGTTAACCAAATAAACTGATTGAATTCGATTTTCCTTCGTGAGATTCCAAATCCAATTCGATTTCCGGCCAAACCAAAGTCGATGTCAATAACTCAATTTAATTGCAAGCAGCAACTACACACTAAAGGGGGCTATAATAATCCCAACGTTGCTTGGGCAACACATTATAAATTTCAAAGATTTAACCATAAATTCGATGGCACTTCACTTGATTCCTCGCAGGTTAATGCTTGCCGAGAGATCTACAACATATATACTATATACACAGTTGTATCGGCTCTAGATCTACCTCTGCATACATATGTACATATATACATCTCTCGGCCCTCACCGCTGTGTATTTAATTATACAATTTTCAGTTTGAGAATTTGAAATTTCAAAACTGCTGTCATAATAATGTGCCTGCCAGCCAGCATTTGGCAATAGCACACGAATCGGGCAGTTCACATTAATTATGGCCTAATTGGCACAAAAGGGTTTAATTCCCCATGATCGAGCGATCGGAAACGAATCAAAAGTTGTTAATTAATCTATAATTGAAATTTTTATAATACAAAAAAAAAAACATAAAATGCAATTTAGATAAGTTTCTGAGTTGATTGGGTTTTTGATATTTTAAAGAAATAATTTAAAATTAAATAATTAAATTTGATAGCAATATTTCTGAAGGAATTTGAAAAAAATATACAGTGATATTTGTTTGTTTTTATTAAAATTAAAATTAGCAATATTTAAATTTCTTTAATTTTCTTTCTTCTTTCTTTTTCTATTATAAAAAACTTTTAAAAATATTTACAAATCTTTTAAAATTATTTAAAAATTGTATAAAAATATTTAAAATTCTTTTTAAAATATTTAAAAATCTTTTAAAAATATATAAATATCTTTTAAATATTTACAAATCTTTTAAAAATATTTAAAAATCTTTTAAAAATGTTTAAAAATCTTTTAAAAATATTTAAAAATCTTTTAAAATATTTAAAAATCTTTTAAAATATATAAAAATCTTTTAAAAATATTTAAAAATCTTTTAAAATATATAAAAATCTTTTAAAAATATTTAAAAATCTTTTAAAAATATTTAAAAATCATTTTAATATATTTAAAAATCTTTTGAATATATTTAAAAATTGTAATTGCTAATTTTAATTTATTTAATTATCTGAGTAATTCATATTTAAATTTAAAGCTAACTTTTGCATTATTTTACAAAATAAATGTTTAGCAAATATAAATATTTATTTTCTTTGGTTTTTATTAAATGATTATTTCAGGCAATAGTTAAACGTTTTTCGTAGAAATCTTTGGAATAATATTTCAAAATTTATTTCAAATTTAAAATACGTCTAGTAAATTAGTTCTTCTAAGCTCTTAACCTTAAGATTTTACTTCCCCTTCCTAGTCGTGCCCCAAATTAATTTTAGCCTTAAAATTAGCTTTAAAAATTGTCTGAATCATTCGGGAAATAAATAAAAAAAAGCTGATTAATTCACCGACAAATTCTTTCCCAATTGTTTATGCAAATTAAACAAATAATGTTGTTCCAGGGAAAATCGACTTGGATCAGCGAAAACTCCTAGAATATATGCAATATTATTCTGCCAAAGGAAATAGATAAAATTGAAATGGAATTGTCATTGACTGAAGGTCAGTGCCTGGCCTGGAATTGATGGCTTTTCAATAATTAACGCCCTGCGTGTGTTCAATGGACTTATTATATGTTTTATTATTGGCCATCGTCTGAGCCTTTTTTTGACCACATGTGCCATATAGAAATAGATATACTATATATGTATATATATACAAATTATATATATAAATCCAACGTAGGAGATATTATAATTTTTTGCATGACGTAAGCGCTCACGAGTCGTTGTCTGCGATTTTCTTCTCAGCGATTTTTGCCACGCATGAAAATATTTGACACTTTTTTTTTGTTCCGTATTTTTCTGTTTTTTTATTATAACTTTTTGTTTTATTTTTTTATTAGCCTTCTAGTGCACACACTTGAATTTTTTATTGTATTTTTTTTTGTATGATTTTCTGTTGTTATAATTTTTACCGTAAACGCGACGACAGGCAGCAACAGCCCAAAAAAAAATAATAAAATTAAATCGAAGAAGGAGCTCTTTATAATCTCGACGTGGCGAACGCATTAACGGAAACTACTGAAATGTGGAAAAAGGCAGCGCAGAAAATTTTCAATTCCGAAGGCGAAAAAAAAGAATTCACGGGAAAATTCGAAGACCATCTGTGTGAGAAGAGAGGCTAACTTTGCAGCAGCAGCAGAGATACTACACACGTGTATCTGTATCTGTATTTTGTACACACAACAAAAAATAGTAACTAAAATTTTGTAAAAATATATTTTAAATGGTTTTATGGGGGAAAAATACAAAGTAAAAGGCTTGAAAATATCTAAAAGTAAGCCTTTTATGTCAAACAATGCATTTAAATTTCATAAAAAATTCCCTTTACGATGAAACAACTTTTAAATATACTTTAAATATAACTTTCATGGTGAAAAATCATTTTAAATTCCTTTTGAATTTTTTTAATCGCAAAAAATTATTAAAGATATATAAAATTCTTCCTTTATTTAGAAAACCTTTGTTAAAAAAACCCTTAAATATTCCCAAATAAAACCCAAACAGTTTAAAATATTAATTTTTTAACAGAAAATCTCTATATGCCTTAACTAAAATCATTATTTTCCTCTCAGTGTAGTTGTTTCTTGTATTTCTACCTGTATGTGTGTTGAGGCAAAGGCATAGTCACAGGCCCAGATCAGCATCTTCCTCTTGCCATTATCAGCATCTCTGCCAATTTCGAAATATGCCCCGTCAGAAAAAGATCAACACACACTCATACACACGCACACACACACATAAACACACACTCTAAAAGCTATTGCCATAAATTTTCACACAAAGGCGAGCGCGGTGTTTTTCGAATTTCGAAAAGCATCAAAAACCATTTTGACGTATTTTTTGCACAGCGAAAGTAAAAGCGAAAAGTTGAGAGAGAGCGAAAGAGAGTGGGAGAAATCGAAGGAGAGAGATATATCTTGGGGATAAAACAAATTCGAGAACGAACAATTTTGAGAGAAAGAAAGAAACACAGAAGCTGTCATAAAATATGCGGAACAATTAACTAAAATAAGTATAGGTAAAAATATATGCACCTATTTAGGTTTCATAAGATTTGTTACAACAAAAGAGAAAGAAATATAACTAGAAAATGTATTAAGGGACTTAAACAATATTTATTTATAAACTTAAGGTATTAAAAATAATATTTTACCATGTTGAGAGTTGATTTTAACTATTTATTTTGTAATTTTTGGAAAATAATAAAATGTATAAAATGTTTTATTGTAGACCTAATTTTTGGTTTGTACAAAAAATATAAATTTAATAAATTAAAGAGAAAAATAAACCATACTTTGAGAGCTAAAAGCTGTCAATTAAAAACAATTTTTAAAGAGAAACTAAAATTTAAAACCAAAAACCCTTTAAAAATGTTCTAAAGATTCATACAAATGTCGAAATGCTGTCATAAAATGTGTGACCAATTAATTGTCACTAAATTGTCAGGCATAAGTCTAATCAAACATCAAAGTGTTCAGTTAGGGGATATATAATAATAAAAAAAAAAAAAAATAAATAATGTATTTAAACAAATGCAAAATTCTCTCCGAAAGAGAAAAAGTGTCAAGAGAAACTGAAATGCCTGCCAAACATCAAAGTGTTAATTATGTTTATTGTTTTGTTTAGGATATAAAATCACAAAAATGGCAAATAATTTATTCAAAATTAATATTCATCATTTTATAATTAAATATATAAAAATATTATTAGTTATGCGACGAAAGATGCACAAGTTAAAGAAAATATATTAACTTGTTTAAGAAGTTTCTCTAAGCATCAAAATTTAAAGAAAATAAATAAATTATCTAGAAAATTAAATGCAAATATCTAAAATCTAATAAATTTAAAAAATAAATAAATCAATTTTATTCTTTAAAACCAACAAATCTAGGGATTATAATTTACAAGCAAAAACCACAATGCTATGTCTTAAAAAAAGCTTCCTAAAAATGTAAATTTAATTACTTAAACCATGAATTTTTATAGAAAAAGAAGTTCATGGTTTTGACGTAATAAATAAATAATACAAATAATTATTTAAAATAATTTTAAAAAGTTAAAAACAGTTTGACATCTTTGCCA